TAATCGTAACATGCTGTACTGTTGGCTCCGCTGATTTCGAAAGCTTTGTTTCATATTTTATCGGCTGGGATAAGTAAATTAGGGCGGAGGTTGCATAGTGCCATGTAATGCTGTCATTTGTATCTCAATAATTTTTAGGTATCAAAGGAGTCGATCGTCGCCTGACGCAAGGTGTGCTAAAACGAATCATTCCAGCAGTAGCTTCTACAAACGCTGTGATAGCTGCTGCATGTGCATTGGAAGCGCTAAAGCTGGCCACAAAGTAAGTCTTCTTAAGTAACCAATCCTAAATGGTATGCACAGACGGTATGTTCAGCATTGCCAAGCCCATCGATAATTATCTGAATTTCACGGATATTAATGGAGTATATTGTGGTGTTGTACACTTGGAGAAAGATGTAAGTCTGTCCGAAAATACTTTGATTTCTTACTTTACAGTAAAAAAGATCTTCTTTTTCAAACAAATTTGGAAATCTTTCGAATGCAAACGAAAAGATTTTCAGCCAGACTGCCCAACGTGTAGTGGAGGCTACGTTCAAATGCAATGCAAGGAGGATGACACTCTACAAGATCTCATTGACAAACTTGTACTCAAATTGTACGTTTACCAGCTGATTTCTCAGCTGAGTTTATCACAAAGAAGGTTTCGTAGTGAGATGTAATGATAAAAGCAGTTGGAATTCTTTCAGTCATCTGAAGAATCCCTCAATTGAGACTGGAAAAGAAAAATTGTATATGATTAGTGAACTAATTCCTGAGCTAAAAGAAAGAAGCGTTTTGAATCTGTTGCGGCCACTCAAAGGTAATTTTTGACGAATTATTTATGACCATATTTTGTTTTACTGTGTTTAGTTCTGTTCCTGTTTTTATAGTAAAATTTTCATATGTTCCCTCAACAACATGGGCAAGCAGTCATTAGTATTACAACTTGTATTGTATTATTAAATTGATTTGAGCTAGTAACCTTGTAGTCATGCAACTAGCCGCATGGGTTCACTCGCAGAAGGGAACTGTTGGCTTTGATTATATGAAGCGATTTGCAAGATCATCTTTTCTTGTAATACATACATATACATTTATGCNTAGTAGTCTACTATTTCAGAGCTACTGTCACCTGGAGAAGACCTGTTGGTTGCTGACGAAGTGTTATCGAAGTCATTATCAATTAGGGTGAATTTTGTGACATGAAACCATGAGACTATGAAGACTTTTGGAGAAGTTATTCTGAAATAAATATATTGCGTCAGCTTGTTTCTACTGTTTACTGCTACGTCATCTCTGTAAGAACGATTAAATATCGATAATAGTGCAGATTTTTGACCTTCCTGATTATGGGAAGTATCAAATTTGTTGCAGAGACTACCTTGAGCTGTAAGTTATTGCATAGTGTTGGAGCGAAATTAGCAACATCACTGTGAAGCATGGATACATTGGGAAACTGTACTAGTTGAATAGTTCGAAGGTAACCACTCTCGTTTATGAAATCTGCATTCATTTACTGATATGAGTGATTTGAATTGGAGTTTTCACATGATCAGCTCCCTCGCCGTTTTTTCGATGCTTGTTTATCTTATATGAAATTCAGTAGGATGTATAAGAAAAAAAAATTGTATCTAAGAAATCAACTTTGCCGGAGAGTTAAATAATGACTTTCACGGGTGCTTTAACTTGAACTGTCCTATTTCCCGAAGCGCCTAGTCCAGCTCCAACTCTTGTCGTGGGGCTACCCGATGGAATTCTATATGACGTTTCATCAAATGCTGCAAACTTACAGGTCCTCGCTTCCAAAGGAGTTATCCTAATCATCGTAGTACCCATCGTGTTGTTTACAGGAATGAGTGAAAGGATGAGGGAGTGGGAGGGACGGGGTGATTAGGTAAGTTTGATGACTGTCTTAGTGCCCATGAACTTGAATATGTTAACTTTTCCCCATGGTGAGTTCGATTTCCCAATTAGTTGGAACAATAACTTCACCTTGTTTGCAAATGCACCACAGGTACACAAAAACCTGCTCACTTGAAGTGATATTCTCTGTTTGTTTGTTTGCCGGTTTATTATTAGTTATTCAGAATTTTCAGGCTCAAGTGAGTAATATTCTGATATCGTTCGGTTTCTGCGGTTGAATCATCTTCGCGAAATTTTCATTCGCTTATAAGACACTGTGATATTTTGCTACAAATAGTTTCGATTGTAAAAACGGATTAGAAATGGAGGACCAGGTTTTCGTCAATCTACCTTTCAAAACTATTGAGCGATCTTCAGTGAGTTTTTCATTTAGATTCTTTATTTAGTCTTGATGTTTATGGGTATGGTAGTTTTGATGGACGGAACTGCGGAGTGAGCATAGCTTACGCTGAATGGATAGTGCTAGCTACCCATATGATTTTCTATTGAAATCACCGGTCTGTTTTCCGGCGCCTCGCCTGATAGACAACTAGGTATGGAATATACATATAGCTAGAGCACTACAGTATATATTCAGTCTGGGGATCCTGAAAATGATGGCTCTAGTTTTGCTTCATTGCCATAGGCTTTCCATCTAGCTTTACAGTCTCAGTTAGCCTATTAATTATGGAACTTTACACAATAAAGGGCCTTTTTGGCGAATAGGGACTGTTAAACCTCTGCCGTCGTTTTAAAGAGTCTTGACTGTGACATTCAAGGGTCTTTTGGAATGAAATGGTCCAAAGTATAGTTATGAGCTGTACCCACCCCATAAATAGTTGTGTTACAGAGCAAGGTACTGCTAGTTATGAAATGGTTCAGAAGTTTTCCTTTCCTTTTCCTTTCCTTCTGAAATGCTTAAAAGCGATTTATTGGATTGTTGCATCAAAAAATGGCCTAAAAAGGCGCAATAAAAACTCCCCATTCGTATAAACGCCCATTGCTGGCCCGGACTTCCTTTGGCGGGCGCGTCGAACCTCATCC